ATCACGGGGGCCTCCTGCCCGGTCAGCCTCACTAAAAGCATCCGTGCTTGAGGATACGAACGCCGCCCTATGGGCCACCCCAGCCAGCCAGCCTTGCGTCGTGCCCAGCGCACTCGTCTACGCCACTGGGTCGTGGGGCCTTCATTCCCCTTGTCGTCGGCCGCTTTGTGCCGCCTGCCTTGGCAGCGGCTCCTCCGAGCCGCCTCGGACCTAGGCTTGCCGTCGCCGCCTCGCCAGGCGGCGTTCTCGATTTTCCCTTCTCCCGACCGGCGAGGACCACGGCGTCCTGCTTCTTGTCTTGGAGGGTGAAGGTGGGGGTCGGGCGCAGGGTCTCGGCAATGGTGTCCTTATGGGCCACGCATGGGCGATGCATCCTCGATTGCTGTGTTCGGCGGGGGAACCAATTGAAGCTTCCCGCCTGCACCCATGCGCGAGACTTGAGGGTAAACGAAGCAGGGGGGCGGGGGGCTCGGGAAAGGCGACGAAGGCAACGTGCGCTGAGGGCGCCAAAAAAGTTTCGATAAACGAAAGCGGTGAGCTGAGTGTCAAATCTGCCCAGCCACTCTGACATGCGGAACACTGCAGTTTAGTGTTGGGGATCTTGAAGGCCAGGGCAAAATGTGAATTCACATTGTGGGGGACAACGGGATGTGAATTCATATTGTGGGAAAAAAGAAAAAAGATAATTCACTTTTTTTTGGGGAAAAAAGAAACTGTGAATTCACAGTTTGGAATTTGGTGTAGGAATCTTTACGGAGGGGCCAGAATGTGAATTCACATTTTGGGAAAAAGGCAAATTTGAATTCACATTCTGGGAAAACAGGAAAATGTGAATTCACATTTTAGGAGAATCGCGGGACCCATCCCAAATCTGTCCTGAGGGTCGACAAGTCATCGTATGGGAGCATACACGATCACCAATGGCACAATCAAGACACACTTGCACGCCAATTCGCCGCCCCACGCGCAATATGCAAGAACGCCCTCACGCATGAACGATAATGGATGGACGGCGCGTTTGCCCGCGCGGGCATCGCGCGGGCTCGACGGGCTGGACCTCCATGACCGCCAACATTGGATGCGAATCGTACCCCGCTCATTCATATACATGAGCGATACATTGAGCATACATGGGCCATCCAGTCCCCATTGAAGACCCCCATGTTGCAGACCCCCTCGTTCACCCTCCAATTGTCTTCGCGTGTGGAGCTGCTGGGGCGTTCTTGGGGCCATCTTGGAGACCGTCGATCAAAAGGATGGAGCGGCGCTTATTAAATACGCCCTCCACCCCCTGTCGGAGACCTTAGAATCGCCTCTTGGGGCGCTCTCGGGGCCGTCTCGGAGCCCTCCTGAGGGGCCCCTGGGGGCCTGAGGGCCCCTCTTGGGGCTCTCTTGCCCCGCGTTGGAGCCAGATCCAGGGTTCTACTGCCAATCGACGGCCAGACAATCGACAGCCAGAGGGTCCATTCGGAAGCCTCTCCGGCTGAGAGGTCTGTCAGGAGTCTCTCTCTTGGCCCCCTCGGGCGCCAACGGCGCGCGCCAACCCCCCCCCCCAGACCCCCGACGTCATGATTTTTTCATGACGCGACCCCCAGAGGTCCAGACCCATTCCCCGGGACCGGTTTTTCATCCCGAGTCGTTTTTTGACGGTCCCGAGGCCCGGTAAGGGCCCTCAGAGGCCGAAAATAGCGAAAAACCTCCCGTCGTGATTTTTTCATGACTCGAGGAGGTCAGGAGGAGGGGGAGGAGGAGGAGGAGGAGGAGGAGGAGGAGGAGGAGGAGGAGGGGATGAGGAGGAGAGGAGGCGGAGGAGGAGGAGGAGGAGGAGGGGGAGGGGAGGAGAGGAGGAGGAGAGGAGGAGGAGGAGTAGGAGGAGGTGGAGGAGCCTCCTCGCCCCCCCCCCCGAGGCTGGGGCCCCTCCGCGAGAGCGTGCGCAGGAGCCTCTCCGCGCGGGCTCCCTGGGCCGCCGCTCGCTGGGCGGCCGCCGCTCCTCGGGCGGCGCGGCGCCGCCCCGCCTCGTGTGAGTGAGGCACCTCCTCCTCCTCCTCCTCCTCCTCTCCTCCTCCTCCTCCTCCTCCTCCTCCTCCTCCTCCTCCTCCTCCTCCTCCCTCCCTCCTCCTCCTCCTCCCCTCCTCCTCCTCCCCTCCCCCTTCCCCCCTCCACCTCCTCATCCCCCCCCCCTTCCCCCCCCGGGGGCGGGCCCAGCTGCCCAGCGCTCCGAAAAAGTGGAGCTGCCCGTTGTTGTCGGGGGCGGAAAAGAGGGGGGTGATGACTAGGGGGGGGGATATCATGGCGGGGGCCATGATATTTCCCCAGATTTCATGGCGCCTCTTCTTACTTCATTACGGCCCTGGCCCCCCCGCTGGGCCGCGCACATGCCGCCGGTCATGATTTGCACCCCCCCCCTTCTTGGACACCCCCCTCTTTGCCGCCCCCGATTGTTGCCCACGTGCGGCCTCCCGGGGCTCCCAGTGGGGCCCTGGGACCTCCCTCCAAGCAGCGATGCAGGATGCACAGCCCAGACCTCCTCGCTTTGTGATACGATATCGCGACGGGAGGTTTTTGGCTATTATTGTCGGCCTCCGGGGTTGCCGGGCCGTGGTTCTGTTGAAACCGATATACGCTTTTAAATAAAACAACAAAAAACGGCCCCGGAGAATGGCTCCAGACCTTTTGGGGTCGACGTTGCAAAGGATCACAACACCGGGAGCCTAAGCCTAGACACCAGAACCACCGAAAAGTTGGAGCGCCGGAGGTCTGGGGACGAGATTGGCCTCCCCCCTCCGCGCGGCGGGGAGGGATGCGAGCTGCAGGCGGTGATCCCGCGCCCCACGGAGGCCACCACAGCGGCCGGACAGGCGCGCGGGGTGCGCCCCGAAGGCCTCCGCCCCGCGCCGGCCCCTGCCGTCTCGGAGGGGCCGCGGCGAGGCCGTGTCCGCCCGCGCCGTGGGGGCCCCCGGGGGCAGAGCCACCCGAGGCCGAGCCCGCGTGCTTGGCGCAGGTGCCGAGTGTGATGGGCAAAAGACTCTGAGCATCAGGTCTGAGCCGAGTGCGGTCAAGAGATTGCTTCGGACGGGGCTAGGACGAGGATAGATGCTGTCCAGGGCGTTCCAGAACGCCCGGAACTCTCCGAGAAGGCCGCGGCGCCCGAGACATTCTCCAGAGCCGCGGGCTCTCAGGGATTCTCGATTCATCTTCGCATGGTTTTACCCTTGCCCTGGCTTCATTTGGGGCGTTGGAGGGACGCTGGTGTTCGTACCGCTCCTCGGGTCTGGGTTTAAGTTGGGCCTGTCCCTCTACAGGAGGACCATCCAAAATTTCCCAAAAAGAATATGGGGGCGATTGTTTGAGCATTTGTTTTGCTATGTGGGAGCATTTGTTGAATAGGTTTTAGTTTGGGTCCGTATAATCCCTCTATAGCGGGACACGCCCGACTTAAATCTGGGTTGTGGGACCCATTCGTGGCCGATGCTGGAGGTGGCCAGAAAAGCACCTTCGTTCCATGTTCCGCATGCGAGCTGTCGCCGTCCTCCTCGTCGTCGTCGCCGTCGTCGTCGCCGCCGTCGTCGTCGTCGTCGTCGTCGTCGTCGTCGTCGTCGTCCTGCGCCGAGTCGAGCCGAGTATATCCCGCTTGAGCAGAGCCTTTTGTCATCACGCTCGAGCCGCGTTTCACCCCTTGTGCCGAGCAGCGCTGCCGCCGCAGCGCGCGACGGCACACACTCTGCACGAGGCGTCACGGGCGAGCCCGCCTGCCCGGCGCCCCTCCTCCTCCTCCTCCTCCTCCCTCCTCCTCCTCCTCCTCCTCCCTCCTCCTCCTCCTCCTCCTCTTCCTCCTCCTCCTCCTCCTCCTCCTCCTCCTCCTCCTCCTCCTCCTCCTCCTCCTCCTCCTCCTCCTCCTCCTCCCCCACCCCTCGTGCCGGCCGCCGTGCCCTCTGCAGTCACGGGGCAGGGCCGTCGGCGCTTGCATGGAAGGTCGTGGGGTTAGGGGAGCTCACGACCTGCGCAGGTAAAACGGATGTACGGTAGGTTTGCGTCGTGTCGACCAGCGGCGACCCCAGCGCGGACGTTCAACGTTGAACGCCGCCGGCGACCCAGAATCGATCGATGTTGAACGATCGGACTTTGCGGCAGCGGCCGATCGTTCAAGGTTGAACGATCCCCGCGGTGTCAAAAACCAACGCTGGGGTCGGCACGACACGGACCTGCCGTAGGCAAGTTCCTCCGATGCCTTCTCGAGCTGTGCACCCTCGGCCCCTTTCCCCCCCCCCCCCCACGCGCTTCACGCGCGCGCCGTTTCCATGGCAGGATCCTCCCTCCTCCCTCGTCTTCACCCTCCTTATCCCCGTCCTCCTCCTCCACTTCCTCTGCTCCTCCTTCCTCATCCTCCCTTTCCCTCTCTCCGTCTCCGCTTTCCAACCCATCGCTGGGCCAGAAGCCTTCAAGTGTAATCCTTCTAGTTCCACGCATATACACATTTGCGTACACGATTGTATATATATATATATATATATATCATACTTGCATGCGCGGACATGTCTGCATGTTTACATATGCATGTGCGCATGTGTGCCAGAGCCTGTCTGCGACTATCTCTCTCTCGCTCTCTCTCTCTCTCTCTCTTTTTCGCTCTCTCTCTCTCTCTCTTCATGTCTTTTGTTGTTTTGTCGTGTTGTGTGTCTCTCACTCCCTCTCTCTATGTATCTCTTTCTTCTTGTCTCCCCATCCATCCAAACACAGCTGTTCTTGAATATAAGTATAGATGCCGATCTATATAAGATGCATCTTCATATGAATTCTCCCTATCTCTCTGTCTGGAGTTGTTCAGCTTCGTTTCCTTTCGCCGTGATCTGGCTGAGGGCCAGGGCCAGGGGCGGAACGCTGCTGAAGCCTCACCCTAGCCCCTCTCGTCCTCCACTCTCCCCCTGCCGCTCTATCCCTACTTGCGTCCTCCCCCGGGATGGGGGGGAGAGGAAGTTGACGGTGGTCGTCTCTTTTGGGGTGGCTTCTGGAAGACCCTCGTCGTCACTGCTGGGCTCATCTCGAAGGACCTCAGAAAAACGGGCCGATGTGCCCAATCCATGTCAGCGTGCGCCCGATCCTCCCCAGGCAGCCACTGCCTGTGCAGGCACCTGCGCTCAAGGAGGGCCCGCCCGCCCGCGCTCGGGGGACGATGGAGAGCTTCCTGACCAGCATTTACGCTGGTGACGACGTGTCCCGGCCCACCTTCCTCGAGCTGGTGTACCAGGAGCAGCTCTGCGACTTCCCGCGCCCGGCCATCCAGGTCCTCATAGCTGCCCCGATGCGCCCGTGCTGAGCACACAACCCGTGCCGTGTTCAAGACGTCCGGGTTAAACACGCTGCCGTGCTGGCTCAACGTGGTGGCCAAGGTTTGGCGAGCGTACCGCGCCGTACGTGTGTGTTCTCAGTCTGCCTGTTGCGCTTCGTGGCAGCACGCTCCGGGTTGCGTGTTGCTTATCGGGGCAGCTCCCTCACTTCGGATCGGCCGTTGTTTCTGGGCGATTTCGCAAGTACGGTGGAACTTCTCCGCCCTACTGTCCAAGCTCCTGTGATGCCGATTTCCGCTGTATTTTGCCGTTGCTGCTTCCGCCGTCTCTGTTGTGGAGATATCCGCCTGAGCGGAAAATTCCGCCCTTCTTGCTCGCATCGTTTGGGGCGCATTTCGGACAGAATCTGAGGTGGGAAAGTTCACCAAAGCACAGCGGATCAGAAGTCAGGGCTAAGTCCAGGTCCTGGTCCGGGGCTGGGAGGATCTACAGGGCCCCAAACTTACACCACCACCTCCCTCAGCCCCTCCCTCTCCAGGGGAAGAGGAGTGGAATAGGAGGGTGGAGGAGGGAGGGGGGATGGAGGCGGTGATGGTGCACATTCTTGGGACCCGCAGAGGAGAGCGCGCCTCCCTGGCTGGTGCCGCTGCTAGCGCGCTGGGAAGCGCTCTACAGCGGCGCCGTTCTGCTGCTGCAGCTGGGGTACCTGCGCGGGCACGCGGCGAGCCTCTCGGAGCACTTCTGCGGCCTGCGGCGGCAGCAGGCCGCTCCCAGGCGCCGCCTCTCGATGCTCGAGGATCAAAAGGCAAATCATGGCACAAACAATGATCTCCTCGAGGGAGTATCCTCGGCCTCGATCTCCTCGATCGAGGATCGAGGTCTACGCGGAGTTCCTGGATCTACGCTCGGCCCCCCAGGCGGCGGTTGCGGTGCCGCCCCTGGCGCGCCTCGCGCGCCAGGTGGATCCAGCGCCGGTCCAGGGCACCAGCGCGGACCTCCGAAAGATTGTGCTTATGCCGTTCCTTGTTCCCCTGGAGGAGGTGGAGCTCCAGAGGCAGCGCATGTTGGCTCCGGGCCTAGCAGCGCGGCAGCAGCTGGCTTCCCTGGTGGCGCTGGTGCTGCTGCCGTGGGTCCGCCAGCTGCTGGAGGCCCGCTGGCAAGAGGTCGCAGCGTCCGGCGCGCGCAGCGCTTGGCAGCTGCTTCTGCTGAGGCTCTACCCCGCGGTGCATGGTGTCAGTGGCACGGTTGCGCTGGCATACAAGGTGTTGTACATGCTCGGGCAGACCGACATCTGGTCGCCGAGCCTGCACCTCTTAGGGCTGAGGCTGGTGAGGCACTTCCCGGACCCTGCCGGCCTGGACGATGCCGAGCCAAAGGGGAAGCTCGTGCGCATTTGGGGGGCGCTGTCTGCTGGTTGGAGCGCCTCCCTGTGGGGCGCCGCCTACGCGATGCAGTTCGCGCAGTGGTGGTTCGCGCGCGAGCACCTGCTGCAGCCTTACCGGCCGCGGAGGGTGCCCCGAGGGCGCCAGTATAATTACACCTGCACCCGTCCTGGTCAGGCCGTTCCTGGGCCACGGATCGGTGTGTAACCTTTAGGTGTTTGATCCTGGACCCCTTGTTGAACGCAGCCATCCAGGTTTCGCGCGCCGAAGGCCGCTGGAAACCGCCAACGACCGCCAGAAACCGCCGAAGGCCGTCAGAACACCGCCGAAAGCCGTCCGAAGACCGCCGAAGACGGCCCAGGAGCTATGGTCAACCAGTCGAGCACGTAACGTATATGCCCCCCTGCCCAAGCCAGAAGGGCGTTTTCGCCGACCCGGGGCCCAGGATGAGCCTGGCCAGGACAGGCGCATGTGTACAATGGGCGCCCAGGTGCCCGACGAAACAAAACGGGGTCGTCTGCGCCGACATTCGCGCGTAAGTTCCCCGCATAAGGTCGCGCGCAACGCCCTCGTCGCCACTTTAACATGCCGCGCTGGCGGCCCGCGTAAGCCGCCGCGTAAGGTCCCCAGACATGCGACGTCCGAATTATTTCACCACGGCGTCCCTGGAAGTCCCGACCCTTTCCCTGCGGACCGGTTTTTCATCCTGAGCCGTTCCTTTTGACGGTCCCGAGGCCTGCCGAGGGCCCCCCCCGAGGCCGAGAAGAGCCCCAAACCTGCCGTCCTGCGGGCTGCTACGCCATCTCGCGCAAGACCCGTTTCTGATCGTCGCCCAGGTGCTCACCACCCACCAGACCACCCCAACCCAACCCGAAGGCTCAAATTTACCCTCGATTTCCAGTGGGGGGGGCGGGAAACATAGAAAAAACACATGTGGGACCCTTCCCCCCCCAGCCCGAAATTCGGGTCTTCGGGTTGGGTTGGGGTGGTCTGGTAGGTCGTCAGGTGCCCCCGCCGCCCCCGCCGAGGCCGCCCTACGCAGAGGACGCCCCCGTGCTGGCGCCTGCGGCGGCCGCCGGCCCCGGCGGCCCCGGTGCGCCGGCTGCCGAGGGCCGGCGCCTCGTGCTGCTGCCGCAGGACCGCACGGTGTGCCCGCTGTGCCACCGCGTGCGCCGGAACCCGGCGGTGTCGACGGGCCAATGGTCCCTAAGATTGGCATCGTGACGAAGAGATGCCCAGCATAGGAGGAGGAGAGGAGGAGGAGGAGGAGGAGGAGGAGGAGGAGGAGGAGGAGGGGGGGGAGGAGGAGGAGGAGGAGAGGAGGAGGAGGAGGAGGAGGGAGGAGGAGGAGAGGAGGAGGAGGAGGAGGAGGAGGAGGACACCAACACCAAGATCGGCGGTGTGCCTCCACCGAGGGAAGACGATCCCGATCTCGGTGATGGTGGTAATATTCTGGCTTCCAGGGTGACCGAAGTATTACCACCAACACCGAAAATCTAGGATCATCTTCCCTCTGTGGAGGCAAACCCCTGTGCTGGTGTTGGTGCCAATTTCCAGGCCTCCACCACTACCCCCAGACACGATCGCGTCGTAACAGAAATATCGGGACGCGAGGTTTTTGGCCATGTTCGGCCCCGGGGGGTCCCTCGCCGGGCCTCGGGGCCGTCGAGAACGACGCGGGACGAAGAACCAGTCCTGGGGAAAGGGTCGGGACTTCCAGGGACGCCGGGGTGAAAAAGTCAGGACGTCGCATGTCTGGGTATGTAAGACAGGGGAGAAGGGAGGATGAGGAGGTCCTCCTCCTCGTCCTCCTCCTCCTTCTCCTACATCTGGTAGTGGTGGTGGAAAATGGGCCCACCAGGTGTCCTGCAGCGGCTACGCGTTCTGCTAGCCTCGGGAGTTGCCAGAAGTAGCCCTGGCCCAAGGTCCGACGATCCTCAAGACTCGAGTAGGGGATCGACTGAAGAGTTGATTCACCCGAAGCTTGATGTGTTCGTTGAATCCATGAGAAAAGCGTAGGATGGTTCGTAGATCCACGAACAATCTACGCATCACCCGGTGCTCTACGTAGATGCTGTAGCCGACCCCCTACTTGAAGGACGTGCGTTCGCCCAGTGTGTGCTCTCCCCGTTCTGGCCCACCGACAGCTCGCAGCCTGCGCTGGCACGCAGGTCGACGCCTGCGCGTCGTGTGAAAGGCCTGCGGTGGAGGTAGGCGCACGCTGCCGCTGGCGCGCGCTCCGAGGATCGTCGAGAGGTGGCTCCCCAGACGTGCGACGTTTTGTTTTTTCAGGACCGCGCCCCTGGAAGTCACGACCCTTTCCCCTGGACCGGTTTTTCGTCCCGAGTCGTTCTTCGACGGTTCCGAGGCCCGGCGAGGGCCCCTCAGGGCCGAAAATGGCCGAAAACCTCCCGACCCGAATCTCTTACGACGCGATCATGTCTGGGTCCCGCTTTCCTGGGGAGGCGCAGGCGGCTCCCAGAGCACCCCCCACGAGGCCCCGAGAGGGGCCCAAAAGGGCTCCCCGAGTGGCGCGCCTGGGCCAGGGCCGCTCGTGGCAGCGCCCGGCATCCGTGCCTCGTTCCGCACGTGCAGCGCCATGGACACTGCCCCGTGACCGGCGTGCCCATGGCGGTGGAGCAGAGACTCGAAGAAGGAAAAACCACAGAAACATAAACTTTTGGCGCTCCGCGCGGATTTCTTGGATCCGCGCCTGGGCCGCCCCGGGGGCGCCTCCAGCGCCGCCCCCGGCGCGCTCCGCGCGCCAGGAAGGGGGGGGGGGCCCAGGCGCGGATCCAAGAAATCCGCGCGGAGCGCCAAAAGTTTATGTTTATGTGGTTTTTCCTTCTTCTAGATACGGCGGATCAGAGACGACGCCGAAGGCGCTGGTTGAGCACAGCGGCGCCGATCGTTGGACAAAAAATCATCCCTGCCCGTTGAGTCCCAGCGCTTCTTTTCTGCCTGGAAGGTGGCCCAGCTTCGAGACCGCTGACCATGGACGGTGCTGCTCGCGGCAGGCGGTCCAAGTGATTGCCTCTGATGTTGCTTGACATGTCTCCAAGGTTTCTTTGGATATGTTATCCGTCTCCCTCGGGGACACCGTCAGGGGGTGATACGCTCACGAAGGAAGCACCAACCCCCAACTGCCGGAGGAGGAGGGGGCGGAGGAAGAGGGGTATTGGGAGGGGAGGAGGAGAGGAGGAGGATTGGGAGGAGGAGGAGGAGGGGGAGGGGGGGGAGGAGGAGGAGGAGGAGGAGGAGGAGGAGGAAGTAGGAGGAGGAGGAGGAGGACAAATGGAAACCCATTGGTCGCAGATAGGGGCCCCATAGCCCACCCCGCCCAAGAGCGTGCGATGCCGCCATCATCGGGGGACTATAGTCCCAATCTATCGGCGAGGCACCGCCGATTCCAGGTCGATGCTTTCCCTCCAGGAGTCGACCTTCCCCGCAACGTTCCCCTCATTCCCACTCTTCCTCATGTTCCAGACTGCAATCGTTGCGTTCGAGGTCGGTTTCTCGGTCCACGTTGTGTGTGTGTGTGTGTTGTGTGTCTTTGATGTGTGTATGCTGTGTGTTGTGTGTTGTGCTGTATGTGTTGTTTGTGTGTGTGCCTGTGTAGTGTTTATGTGTGCTGTGCGTATGTGTGTGTTGTGGGTTGTGGTGTGTGTGTGTGTGCGTGTGTGTGTGTTGTGTGGTGTGGTGTGTGGGTGTGTCTGTTGTGAGCGTGTTATGTGTTTAGTGTTGGGCTGTGGAAAAACAAGAACGTGTAGTGTTGTGTGTTGCCTCTGTGTGTGGGCGGAGCGCTCCTCCGAGCTCGCAGAAGGCCGAGAAGGCAGCGATCAGCCGCACTCATCTCCGCAGCCGTTTGGGTTCGAGGCGTTGAGATATCCCGTCGTTCTCTTCTTCCGTCTCCCCTCTGCGACCACTTGCGATCCCTACCCCTGCTGGTCCAATCGACGCTGGGATCAGATACCCCCGCTGATGTCCACCTGGCTGCAGACATCCTTCGAATTCAGGACTCGGACCTGCATGGGCAGGGTTCGCATGCATATGGTTGCATGTGTTCCTCCTCCGTTCGACTCCCAACGCGACCCCTCTCCGATTACTCTCCGATTACTCAATAAGCCCATCCCCCCCCCCTCCTCCTCCTCCTCCGCCTCCTCCTCTTCCTCCTCCTCCTCCTCCTCCTCCTCCTCCCTCTCATCCTCCCATCCTCCTCCTCCTCCTCCTCCTTCTCCTCCTCCTCCTCCTCCTCCTCCTCCTCCTCCTCCCCACGCCTCCTCCTCCTCCTCCCTCTCCCTCCCCACGCCCACCGAACCCACGCCCTCCAAAGAGCCGACCCCCTGCACACCCCGCGAAGGACGACCGTTCCCAAACACCCGGTCCACGCGACCCCCCCCCACGCTCAGTGGACAACTTTTCCAGTGGCACTCTCCTGCCCAGACCTGCTCGCGTCGTCAAAAAAAGCAGCAGGGGCGGGAGGCTTTGGGCCATGTTCGGCACCCGGGGGCCCCTCGCCGGGCCCCGGGACCGTCAGAAAACGACTGAGGACGAAAAGCCGGTCCCGGGGAAAGGGTTGGGATTTCCAGGGACGCCGTCCTGAAAAAGATCAGGGCGCCGCATGTCTGGGCTCCTGACCCTCACCAATCCATGACCGTAGGGGCTGCGAGGAGAAAGAAGAGGAGGAGAAGGAGAAAGAGGAGAAGGAGCAGATGAAGGCGAAAGAGAAGGAGAAGGAGGAGAAGGAGGAGAAAGACAAGGAGGATGAGGAGCAGAAGGAGGAGGCGAAGGGGGGAGGGGGGGGGGAAGCGACAAGACCACCAGCTCGCAGGCCCGAGGGGGCGCTGGGCCACCCACCACGCCAGGATCGCCGGCCGCTGACCGCCCAACCCCACCGAGAGGCACAGAGGTCATCGGATCCTGTGCCCCCGCGCCGCCGCCTCACGGGGCGCGAGTTTCAGGGGCCAGGAGACGGTGAGCCTGTGGCCTCCCGGCCACGAAAGGAACTCGGAGGGCGCTCTGCCTCCGAGGAGGAGGGCTAGGAGGAGGAGGAGGAGGAGGAGGAGGAGGAGGAGGAGAAGGAGCAGGGGGCAGGAGGAGTAGGAAGGATGAGGAAGGAAGGATGAGGAGGAGGAGGAGGAGGAGGAGGAGGAGGAGAAGGAGGGAGGAGGAGGAGGAGGAGGAGGAGGAGGGAGGAGGAGGAGGGAGGAGGAGGAGGGGGAGAAGAGGGAGGAGGGAGGGAGGAGGAGAGAGGAGGAGGGAGGAGGAGGAGGAGGAGGAGAAGAGGGGAGGAGGGAGGGAGGGAGGAGGAGGAGGAGGAGGAGGAGGAGGAGGAGGAGGAGGAGGAGAGGAGGAGGAGGAGGGAAGAGGAGGAGGAGGAGGAGGAGGAGGAGGAGGAGGAGGAGGAGGAGGATGAGGAGGAGGAGGAGGAGGAGGAGGAGGAGGAGGAGGAGGGTGACGGGGAGGGCGCCCTCCCGCCGTCCCTGCCATGATCGGCCGCGCGGCCAGCAGGGGCAGCGCGGGGGCCCACGGGCGCAGAGGCCTCGCGTCGGGCAGGGGCCCGCCGGGCGAGTTCGACCACTAGCCGCGGGCGCTTCGCGCGAGCCGCCCGCCCACGGCTGTCGCACCCAGACACGATCGCGTCGTACGAAAATCAGGAAGAGGAGGAAGCGGAAGAGCAGGAAGAGGAGGAGGAGGAGGAGGAGGAGGAGGAGGAGGAGGAGGAGGAGGAGGAGGAGGAGGAGGTTTTGGTTATTTTCGGCCCAGAGGGGCCCTCGCCGGGCCTCGGGGCCGTCAAGGAACGACTCGGGACGAGAAACCGGTCCTGCAGGAAAGGGTCGGGACTTCCGGGGGCGCCGTCCCGAACAAAACATGAGGACGTCTCATGATGTCTGGGCAGCAGCTCCTGGGGGCACCGTCGGGTCGCGTGCGCTCGGAGTGCATGCTTTGGAGAGTGCACTGGCGTGCGCCAGCGTCTGGCAGGTGGTCGATGGGACAGCGTCGAGTTCGCGTCGCTCAGCCTCGATCTCGCGCCGAGCAGCGTCGATGAGGGTCAGTCGGCGCCGGCTCGAGAGCCAGCAAGATGGCACGGGAGGCTCCCATGGGCCGCCCGCCCACGGCGTGCTGGTACAGTGGAAGTCGTCGATGATGAGGGAGGGAGGGAGGGAGGGAGGGGGGGGGGAGGGGGCGAGGGGGGAGGGGGGGGAGGGGGGAGGGAGGGGGGGAGGAGGGGGGGAGGGGGGGGAGGAGGGGGGGGTGGGGGGGAGGGAGGGGGGGAGGGGAGGGAGGGAGGGGGGGGAGGGGAGGGGGGGGGGAGGGGGGGAGGGGGGGGGGGGGGGCAGGGGGGCTTCTGCACGGGTGCCCTTGCATATCCCTGCCTCTTCGGATCTCCGATCCGTCCCCAGCCTCTCTTTGGGCGGCGGGCCCCGCCTCTGAGGGCTCCGACGTGGGCGTGCGAGGGGCCCCCATCCCTATCGCGATCTCTTGTCGCCTGGCTCGTGATGCGAACGGCACGCGCTGGAGCTAACCACGAGGCCAGCACCTTCGAACCGTGTGGATGCTGCTGCGGACAGAATTGGCCGAGTGCCCAAGACAGACATGAGACGCCCATACATCCTCCCGTTCGCGAGTTGAACAGTTACGACGGGTGGCTTTACGTCGCGTTCGGCCCTGGGGAGCCCTAACCGGGCCCTGGTGCCATCAAATACCGACCTGCTGGGATGCACAGCTAGTCCTGGGGAAGGGGTCTAGACCTCTGGGGGCCCACGCTGTGAAGAAATGTACGGCGTTGGTCGGACGGGCCTAAAGTCGAGATAAATCCGTTCCAGAGCGTTCCGAACGCTCTCAGGGCGTTCCAGAGCATGCTGAAACGGCCGCGGCGCCTGTTACATCCTCCAGAGCCGCTGGATCTCAGAGTTTCTCGGCTTGTCCTCGGCCGACTTTATCCTCGTCTTGGTTTCGTACGTACAGTCAACCCACATACTAATTCTAAGAGCGGGCAACCTTCCCAAGCGTATCCTTGCATCTTTGCATCCTCGATCTTTCGCTGACCTCGCCCCGCTCGAAAAGCTTCGAAACCCGGACATGCGACGCCCCGACTTTTCCAGGACGGCGTCCCTGGAAGTCCCGACCCTTTCCCCGCGACCGGTTTTTCGCCCTGAATCGTTTACTGGCGGCCCCGAGGCCCGGCGAGGGCCTCTGGAGGCCGAGCGTTGCCAAAGACCTCCCGCCCCGATTTTCATCTCACGACGCGAGCATGTCTGGACCTGGCCCTTGCAGCCTCGTCGTGCGCCCTCGTGGTATAGGCCGGCTGCAGCGTCGGAGATCCGGGGAGGGTCCGGCACCGGCGCAGGGCCGGGCCCCGCGCAGCCCTCAGGCTCGGGGGTGAGCAGACCTCCAACCCTGACGCGTCGATGGCCGCCGTTTTTGCGGGTCCACTTTGCAGAATCTGGGGTTAGGCGATGTATACATGAGTTGGGCCAGACTTACACAGAAGTTAGAGTGCAATTGGGGCTCGGGTGTTGCATTTGTGTTATAATTGCGGTGCAGTTGCAAGCTAACCTGCCCAACTTTTCATAACTTGTCATAACTTTTCACATCATTTCATAACTTCTCGTATCCTTTCATTAGTTGTTCTCAGTTGTCGCTTAACTTGTTCTTAACTTTTCATAACTTCTCTGACTACTCTAACTGTCTCGGGGATGTCGGGGAATGCGGGGACGATGAAGGAGGAAGGAGGCGGAATGTCGTCCGTCAACGTCGTCGTGGTGGTTGTCTTCGTCGTCACCCGTCGTCGTAATCGTCGTCGTTTTTGTGTTCGCTTCCATCGTCCATCGTCGTCGTCCCTGTCGTCGACGTCGTTAGCGTCGTCGTCTGTGCTTGTCTGCAGTTAATGTTGGGTTCGTCGGTTTCGTGATTTGGCT